GCTAAATGCCCCCTGAATGACTTTCTTCGGTTAGGTCTCTTGCCAGGTTTTCTATAGATTTGTTTTTCCCTCCACTGCTTCTCGGTGATTGATGAAGCAATATTTCTACACTCATTCACCATTCTCCTTTGGAAGATATTACAGCTGAGTTTATATTCTAAATTGGTGTTGCCCTTGGCTGCCATCTCTCTCCAGTTGGCAAGTAAATCTAGTATTGACCGACTGCATAGGTTTCCAGGCTCCCTTGGTCTTCTTGTTATAGTGATTGATTTATATCAAATATATTCCTTTAGGAAACACCGATGGCCTCTTCTGGTGTCTTTCCTTTTCTCCATTTCTCTCTGTCTCTCTATCTCTATCTCTGTCTCTCTCTCTCTCTCTCTCTCTCTTTGTCTCTCTCTCTCTCTCTCTCTCTCTGTCTCTCTCTCTCTCTCTCTCTCTCTCTCTCTCTCTCTCTCTCTCTCTCTCTCTCTCTCTCTCTTTCTCTCTCTCATTACAGAGTGGCTCAAAAGGAACAGACTAGACTAAGAAACAAGTGGTTTTTAGACCATCTATAGAATTTAACATAGCTGTTGGCATTCTGAATGTGAGTCCCTAGTCCAGTGATTAGTTAATGGTCAGACTGCTAAGAATTGAATCATATTAAAACTAATAACATTATGGTTGAAAACACAAGAAGGAAGCTGTAATAGAATGGAAGGATATCTCATAGGTGCATGGGGTGGGGAGAGTTCGAAGAGTTTGTGGAATTGTTTTCTCATGTTACCTACAGGCAAAAAGAATCATTTCATGTGACATTTTGTCAACAAAAATTGCAGCACTCAGGATGTTTGTGCAAGAAGTCCACCATGAAAACAATTACAGATTACTTACCATCCTTGCAGAGGTAGAGAAAGTCTGCAAATAAATAAGATCTTTATAAAGCCATCCAAAGCAAATTTGTTCATATTTGTTATAAAAGTTCCATTTGTCTTCTTTTTTTAAAAAATGGGCATAGGCTGGGGAGGGGTGAGAAAAAAATGCTTATTAATTAAAAATAAAATAAAACAGGGAAAAAATCCTTCACAGTAAATCAACATACACTTTGCAACTTGGTGACTGAAGTCCAAAAAGAGGGAATAGGTGAGGATGGCAAGAAGTAATTGGAAAATATGTTCTAAAGATGAGAGGCCCAAAACTCATGGATGACACAGAAGATTCACATCCGTGCATTATTCATTTATTTATTTATTTGTTTGTTTATTTGATAATAAGTTGATGTTTTGAATGGCAGGCACTATATAACATCACACACACACATGTGAAATTAATTCTATTTCAGCAGATAAGAAGTGATTTGTTGCTGATGTGGGAGTCGTTCCTGAATTAGCTGTCTATACAATACTACTTGTTAGAGCAAAGATCAAAATTAGTACAAACATGCCCAGCTCTCCCCCGTTCTTGAAAAATCTTCCCTTGACCTTACCATGGCCTCAAGCTGTTGTCCTGTAGCTATCATTTCTTTCCCAGCCAAACTCTTAGAAACATCTATCTGTACTCATTGCCTTCATTTTCTCACCTTCTGCTCAGTTCTTAACCTATTTCCATCTGGCTCCTGTCTCCAGTATTCAGATTGTGACTGTTTGTTCCAAGGTTGCCAGTGATGTTAAACCCAGTGGCCTTTTATGTTGTCATCCTGTTTTAACTCTCCACAGCATTTGATTCTGTTGACTATCCCCTCCTTTTGGATACTCTAGCTTCCTGACTCTGCTTTGTCTTGGTTCTCCTCTTACCTGTCTAAGCAATCTTTCTAAGCACCTTAGCAAGATTATTAGCCATATCCTAACACATGTTCCATGTATGCGTGTCCCTGGGATTCTGTCCTAGGTTTTCTCATTTGCTCTAATCTTTGGGTTTTCATGACATAACTGTTTTCAAGTTTTCCTTCTACTATCAGACCACTCTTCAGTCTTCTTTCTGGTTCATCATCCATATTATGTCCCTTAACTCTGTGTATTCCTCAGGTTTCTGAGCTAGGCTGTCTTCTCTTCTATACTCTTTCTCTCAGTAACCTCATCACCTCCCACGAGTTTATCAGTGCGAGTAGCTGTTCACCTTGTAGGCACGTTATAGCCCCTTCATGCCTTATTGGTTGGCCTTCATGAGTTACTGTTATCACTAGGCCCAACACTCCATCCACTGTGCCACTTAGCTGCCCCTTAAATTTGGAATACTCTGTATTAAAAAATAGGAAATAAATTTAATGCAATAAAAAATTAGAAGAGAAAAGGTAACTTGGGGGGAGGGAGTGAAATCTTTTCAATGAGTTTCTCTAATAAAGGTTTCATGTAAAAGATATATTAGAGACTGATTCAAATGTTATAAGACTAAGAGCCATTCTCCAATAGATAAATAGTGAAAAGATGAATGGTTTTCAAAGAAACAAATCCAAGTTATCAATAATCATGAAAAATACTCTAAATCCCTAATAACTAGAGAAATACCAATTAAAGCAACTTTCAAGTTTGCCTCACACCTATTGGACTGGCAAAGATGACAGAAGATGACAAATCTATGGAATGGCTATGGAAAAACAGGTATACTTGGTGGAATTGTGAATTAGTCAAGCCATTCAGGAAAATTAATTTAGAGCTATGCCTAGAAAGTTACCAAATATTGCATACTCTTTGACCCAGCTATACCACTTCTAGACCTAAACCTCAAAGAAAGAGGAAAAGGATCTATAGGTACAAAAATATTTACAACAGCTTTTTCATGGCAGCCCAGAATTGGAAACTAAGAAGTTGGCTTCCTTTTGGGGAATGGATAAATAATTTGTGGTAGATCAATGTGATGGATTTTTATTGTGCCATAAGAAATGATGAAATAGACAATTTCTGAGGAATCTGGGAAGGCCTTTATGTACTGATGCAGAGAAAAATGAAAGATAGGAGAACAATTTATACGATAATAACATTATAGAGAAAAACAACTTTAACGACTTTATAACACTAATCAATTCAATATAAACCCTGAGTTCAAAAGAATCAAGATGAACTTAAAATGCAGAAAGAGATACTCATTTTCAGACATGACTACTGTAAGAATTTGTTTTGCTAGACTATTCAGCTATGCACGGAGGGCTTTATTTTTCAGAATCTTTTTAATTTGCTCAATGGAAAGTGGATGTAATGGAATAGATAAATTAAAATATGTATGAATCGAAAAATGCAAACAAAATAGTAGAGAAATCTGTACAAAAAAAAATGGCTTAAAAGGCTTTAATTACCTGTGTAGACAATGCTAGATAAATGAGGTACTACTTTATTGAATTTTTCCAATTAGTGATCTTTATACCAAAATTTATTCTACGGGATAGATATTCATCTCTGATGCTACTTTATTTATATTCACGTTGCTTTTAAAATGGATATATATGTGTGTGTATGTCATATACACGTATATATGTAACTATATATATGTGTGTGTCTATATATATATATCATTCTGTTCAGAGTATTTAAAGAAACTCTTGTCAAGAGAGCCAGCACTAACTGACCATTTCTATCCCAAGTATACTTACTGTGGGAAGGACCAAAGAGTCTGTGAACTCACTGTCTCCATCATTGCTAATGTTTGGCTTCAAATGGAGTCATACTTGCTAAGGGACACAATGAAGGACACAATCTACTTTCATACCAATCAACTAGTCCTGAGCCTTTTAAAATCAAAATACTTTAGGTTCTAGTTCAGAAGATTCATGTTTTAGCTGTCTTCTGCCTTGCTCATTCTATGTGTCAGCATTACTATTAGTATACCCCTGTTTGTAAAGACTGTTGAGGAACTCAGAGACTAACACTGACTTTATTGTTCTCATTTATACAGAGAATATCTAAGATATACATGGCATTTCCATAAATATTCTTTAGTAACAGAAGACCCATCAATTCGCAACGTGAATAGCTTTTCAACTGGTGCAGCTTGCAGCCCTTTCATGTCTGTGGTTGGCCTTCAGGAGTTACTGTCACCGTTAAAATAATTCAACACTCGGTCACCAGCCTTCTGCTTATGAGTCAATATACTGATTGGTGATGAAAATCATATTAGAGTATTAAGGAATCGGGTGTTTAGTTTCAGCTTTTTTGCCTTTGAGAATGTGATTCTGAGATGGAGAGAGAGATATTGTTCTTGGTCTTTATCCTGTCACATTCCAGGTGAAATGGTCCCTAGGTAATATTCGTGTCATATTGATTACATGTGCTTCTGGTGGTTTTTTAATTCATGTTGTGATTGTCTTCATATTAACTTAATGTTAATTGAATGACAAAGATTACTCCATCATTTTGAAATCCTGGGTTTTTTTAGCTCATTTTGCAATTAGTGGCCATATGTCATCCCTTAAGCCAACTAGTGGTCTTGAAATAGTATAAATTGTCATCTTTCTGCCTGCATCAGCCTTGTTGAGATGCCCCGTACTGAAGAACTGTGCATTGTTATTGTTGTTTGGTTGTTTCAGTCGTGTCCAATTGTTGGTGACCCCGTTTGAGGTTTTCTTGGCAAAGACACTAGAATGGTTTAGAGGAACTGAGGCAAATAGAGTTAAGTGACTTGCTCAGGGTCACACAGCTAGTAAATGTCTGAGACCGTATTTGAACTCGTGAAGATGAGTCTTCCTGCTTCCAAGCCCACTGCTCTATCCACTGTGCCACCTAGCTTTCCTTCATTAAGACTGTTGTGTGCAGAATCATCTAGCAGTATTTACTAGATCTCTGAAGAGAGGATTAATTTCTAAGAGCCTGTTCACATACTTTTCATGTGTTAACCAAGGCAACATTAGTTATTGTTGAACAAATTTTGATCTAAAATGGAACAAATATAAAAAGGTGTTTGAATGGGGCAAATCAGTGAGACTTTGCCCTCATGGGCAGATGCAGTAGCATCTAGGAATTTTAAGCTAGTGAGCAGATGTAGATTGTAAAGTTATAAAATTGCAACTGAAATGTTTCTTCTTTCTTCCACAGCTCTGGTAGTAAGATTTCTGACCAAACGGTTCATCTGGGAATATGACCCAACCCTCGGTAGGTCAAGTTTCATGTTAACTTTTTCTTCTGTTAAAGAAAAAATGGTTTACTATCTTCTCCAGTGTTCTTTGAACCTCCTCTGAAGTACTATATACTTCAGTTCCTCCTTATGGTATGATAGTATGCCTGTGTTCTCAGCAATTATGCTGTTGGAGTATAAGCTGTATCAGTTTTTATCCATGAAAAGGCTTGAAGTATGCTCAGTTAATTAGCATTTATTAAGTACTCACTATGTTCCAGGCACTGTGCTAAGCAGTGGGGGTACAAAGAAAGACAGTATCAGACTGAGTCTAATGAAGGAGACAACATGAAAACAAATCTGAACAAACAAGATATCTAAAGATAAATTGGAGATAATCAACAGAGAAAAGGCGCTGGTATTAAGGGGTAAGAGGTAGGGGTCTCTTGTAGAAGAGGGGATTTTAACTAGGACTTGAAGAAAGCGAGAAGCCAAGAAATGGCAACGAGAAGGAAAGTATTCTAGGCATGGGGGATGGCAAGTGAAATATCTGCAGTGTCTCCTGGTGACATATTATGTATGTTGACCCTGGTATAGCTAAGTTGGTGAGGCTCATTACCAGATAGGCCTCAGGACAATGACATTTTAAGACACAGCACTCTTAAAGGCCATTTAGGAAATCAGAGGTGGTGATCTTATTGGTGGCAGAAAAACTCAGCCAAACCTATGTGATAGATCCTTCAAGTACTCAACTATCCTTGTGGAAATGCTTTATTAGACAATGTAACAGAGACCTCTCAAAGGCCTTTGCTGGATCCCCGTTTCATGCTGTTTATGCCCAAAATACTCTAGACATTTGGTAGGTACAGATGAATAAATCGCATCAGTAAACAATTCCACAATTTTAATTACTCTGTATTATAGAGATGCTTTTTTATTACATAAATTAAAATTTAAATAAATAAAAAAAATTTTAAAACAAACGAACAATAATTCCACAGCTGAAGTTGGCATCCCAGGGGAAAGAAATGAGTGAGCACAGTATGGTCCACGCATCTAGCATTCTGGCTATAGTTATTACAGAATTATTCTATTTTTCTGGAGATTCTTCTTGACATTCTCTTACTCCTTTGCAATTCTTCATTGTATTAAGACCTTTTCTTTGCTCAGATCCTGCCTCAGATACTTACTAGCTGTTTGACCCCAGGCAAGTTATTTAACCTTCCTGTGCCTCAGTTTGCTCATCTGATAAAATGGGCATAATAATAATAAGCACCCACCTCCTAGGGTTGTTGTGAGGATCAAAAGATATAATATATATAAAGCAATTTGCAAACTTCCAAGTGCCACATAAATGTTGCTATTTTTAGTTATCAATATCTTGTTGGAGTATTTTCCCCGTTCTGTGTAAATTTCTTTCCTTTCTCCTCCTTTATTTGTTCTTTTAGCATTTTTATCTTTTTTGAGTCAGTGAAGGGAAACTGGGTTTATACAGTCAGTAAGCCAGTCAACAATCATTTATTAAGCCCATCTAGGAATACAAAGAAAGGCAAAAACAGTTCCTACCCTCAGGAAGCTCACATTCTAATGGATAACCACTCACTTGGCCATTTTGGTAGAATGCCTTTGACAGTGCTTTTTAAAGGAGATGTTTTTATATGATAGATTCATTGATTCTAGAAATATAATATAATATTCAAGGTAAAATTAAATGAGATCTTTTCATACCCAACAAATTATTTCTGCCTGTTCTTTAACATTTTACACTCATATATGTCATTACTCCAAGAAATATAATATCATAATATTGAAGGTAAAATTTCAGTTAAAATACATTCATATTTCTTTTAATTTTTCCCTACTTCCCCATAGCATGGTGTGGTGAGAAAGGCATTGTCTCTAGAATCAAAGGACCTTTCTGGATCCTATTACCTCTCCTATATACATATATATATATGTAGTAGTCTGCCTTTTCTCTCCTCCATTAGTATGTGAGTTCTTTGAGGGCAGGAATTATCTTTTTCCCTTTCTTATATTCTCAGCATTTAACATAGTTCTTGGCATGATGTAAATAACTAATAAATTCTTGTTGGTTGTCTGACTGATTGGATCTCAGTTTCCTTATGTGTAAAATGAGGTGATTGAATTAAATGATCTCTGAGACCCCTTGCAGTTCTAGATTCTATGGACTTTATTTTCATGAGCATATCTTTGCAGGGATTATGCTTTCCAAAAACAAATGATTTATGGAAAATAAGTGGAAATATATAAATTATATTTGTGAAAGGAATACTTTCCAGTGAAAGAAAAAGCAAATAAAAATTACGAGCTCATAACATATTTGTGTTCTTTTGAGTGTCCCTCTTTAGTCATTAGTTAACAACTATTGCTAAGTTTTAAGTAGTTGTGAATTCCTTTTTTTGTTTTTCTCCAAGAAATTTGCTACCATTGGGAATGTATAAACCAATTTTTGACATATTTTTCTTACCCCCAAATATAAATATAAAAGAAATTGTATTGTAAAATGGTTTTTAAATGCGGCTGCTAAGCAACCAAAGCTTTGATCAGAAACTTTACAAGCTCAAGAGTGTCAAATCTGTGACTCACTCTTAGGCCAGGATTTCATTAACTCTTTTGCACTGGGAATTGTATTTCCTTGGCTGATAGTATTACAGTCAGTCTCCAAGCTAGGAAATTCCCAATCCATCCACCCAGTCCACAGTTGAAGTGCAGCCAGAGTTTCAGCTGTACTTGTATTTTAGAAGACAGCATAAAGGGAGCTATTTACCTCTATCAAATCCTTGGTTTCCTAGGTTATTGGTCTCAATACCAGCATTCAAGGACTATCCATTTTGTGCTGGGAACATAGACTCTATAGAATGTTAGATCAAGGCAGCAACGTAGAGGTCAGCTAGCCCAACCCCTTCAGTTTACAAACAAAGAATAAATGTCTAGAAAAAGTGAAGAAGTGATATGAGCCTGATGAAGCAGCTGATTGATCAGAATGCCCCAAGTTCGGCGTCTTTTCCATAACCACAGTGGAATTTTCTCATTTGCCAATTTGTCTGTTTCTGAGGGACTGAAGAAAATGAACGTTTTGTTGTAAATTGAGAAAGGCCCTAGGCCTAATTTTGATCATATCCTTAACACTTCAATCCTGGTGAATCTGTGGTCTCCTTGGTGGTTTACTTTTACAGTAAAGGTGACTTCTGTGTGCTTCTCAACCATAGCCTTTCCTGAGTCACCATAGGGGATGTACCCAATATGTTTCAGGCTTTACCAGAGTCTTTCCCTTTTCCGTGGATGCCAAGTCAACTTTTAGGCAGTCTGTCTATCTCTAATCCCTCACTCTTGCCCCTCATGATTAGGATTCTGACTTTGTAACATATTCTTGATGACTTGAAGCAGCTAGAGGGTCCTAGAGTGCTAAATGTGGAGCTGGAGTCAAGAAGACCTGAGTATAAATCATCAGTCAGCTACTTCCTTGGATGTAGGACCGTGAGCACGTAAACATCTCCCAGCCTCAGTGTTCTTGACTGTAATGGGAATAATAACAAAATGCCTACTTCACTGGGCTGTTGTGAGGATTGGATGAGATAATGCACTTTTAAAAGTTCTTTATGCACCTTAAAGTGTCATATAAATGCTAGTTGTTGTTATTATTTTTATCATTATCATTTCAGTTACCTTTTATTCCACTTCTTCCATAAATATCATTCTTGGTCACTTTAGTCACTTTGGGTCACCTGCAGTTTAGCTCTTCTGAAAACATGGTTTGGTGAGCTTTAGCATCATGTAGGAACTTAAGATCATTGAAAGTATTTTGTCGTTTCAAAAGCAATACATCCTGTCCCCTCCTAGTTAGTTCTAGGCCTAGGTCATCCATCTGAGGTGCCTTTATATGCTATATATGTACTTACAGATAAACTCAGTGGTGAGTTTATATGCTGCATGTGTACTTATAGATGAACTCCCCATACAACTGTCATCATCTGTATAATATCATCATCAAAATCAAATATCATCATCTGTATAATAATAATAACTAAGATATAGCACCTTAAGGTTTGCAAATTGCTTTACAAATATTAACTCATTTGATCTTCACAATAATCCTAGGAGGTAGGTGCTATCAGTTATTATTATTATCATCCCCATTTTACAGGTGAAGAAACTGAGGTAGATAGAAGTTAAGTAACTTTCCCAGGGTCACACAACTAATGAGTTCATGAGGCTAGATTTCTTATCTAGTTGGTTTTCTTTGTAGTATAATAACTTTTGAGTTACCATAGGTCTTATTGACAGAATCTTATTCTGAGGGCTTAGTGCAGTTACTACAATATGCTCTGCAAATAGATGCATTTGAAGCAATTGATTCTTTTGATTCCAGAAAATATTTATGCCTACAAGGTCCTTAGATAACTCTGCACATCTGAAATGTTCCTTGTCTTTCACTAGCTGCAGTCATAAAGCATGCCCTGACAGAGGGACATAGATGACAAGTATGATAAGTTTCAGTGCAGGGGAGTAATGCAAAAACATTTTCTACTTGCTCCCCACCTTTGAGAAAGCTGGCAACAGTTTTATAACTTTTACCACCAGTCATTGGGAGAGCTATCATTTTCAGCAAGAAATAGTTTAGGAATAATATTATTTCCAATGTCAAGAATAAGGAGAGTTTGGATCTTCTATTCTGGACCAAATAATAATTACTTTTCTTCTAATCATCCATTCGGGCATAATCTACATCAGCAGACATCCTTTGTTTTAATAGAAAGGAAACAAAGTGGAGAGTTGACTTCAACCCGTTCTATAGCATCAAGTTTTCCAGTAGTTTATCTTACCAGTAAAGGTAGGAGTGTTTTTGTTGTTTTGTTTTTGTTTTGTTTGTTTTGACCCGGCATGCACAAGTACAGCTCTCTTTATTGGTAAGTGATTAGGCATTAGGGTGTTCTGCTGACACCAGATGTGAACAAAGCAATTAGAAGCAGATATTAAAAATGCCAATGAGGAAAGCCTAGGAATATAAGGACAAACG